ATGGACCAAGGTGGACTGGTATTCGGATCATGCGTATATTGTATTGTCGTTGTTATCAAGCTTTCGCACGATGATCACAAGTGTGACGAGAATGACGAGGAGAAGGACTCGCAGTATAATACCGACTCAGATTCGGATGATATTATCCCCAGGTCACGGTGCGGCGCAGGAAGTGGCATGTTATCAAAGCTGCGCTCCAAGATTTGCTCTTCCGCGAAGTTGGCGGGTGAGTGGTAAGGAGAAGTATAATAAATCGTCAGAGAAGAATAGAAATAAAGACATTGGCAAGGCCTCGTCATACAACTCCTTTCAAAACGATCACGCGGGGAAATCGCCCATGCCGCGCACACTGCAACGGTTCAGAGGCGGACCGAATGAAGAGCGGATCGAATTCATGGAGCGCCATGCGGTTCTGGCTTCTCAGGGTTTGGGGGTGACCTTGGAGCAAGTATCGATTTTCCTGGGTGCGATAACACCGTTTTGTCCTTCTTTGATGCAAGCGCTAGTGATGTAGAAGCGCCGATCGTGAAGCGACTGAAATCTCCAGAGACAATACTACGACAATCCTGCGACGCCAGCTGCGTACAGGCAATTCTCGATGCTATTATCGACCTCGCCATCCCCGTGACTTTAGCCTACCAGGACGCAATTGGAGACCTGGAGGTTGCGGTTCTGACTGACCCAGTATAGATCAATCCAAGAGTCTATATGTCTTGACGTCTGAGATCTCAGTACTACGCAATACCATGCAGCCGTTGTCGGGTCATAAATGCGCTACGAGACCACCGCTCACAGCCAGTTCAGACTCCTGGAGTCTTAGGTCAACCGCTCGACATCGTTTATTGGAGAGAATACAGCTTATATTGGAACGGCGACCCCGAATTTGAAGAGTCTTGGTGGCTCGACGGTTACGATTAGCGCTATGTGCCATACTACTCGGTGATGTATTGGCATTGTACGAGAGAGGCTACGATCAAATGAGGAGATCGGCGGATAACATGATTGATCTGATATTCACACAATCGGTAGGTGCATTGAACTGGCAAGAGTATACTTAACGGTCTAATATTGTGTTGTATTTACAGGGGCCTATCAGAACGAGAGTATGAAACAGCTGAGCTTGGTAACTTTATTCCTTCCATTAACATTCTTGACGGTACGTACGATTTCAGCCACAAGACATGAACTATAATTAATACATAGTAGGGATATTTTGGGATGAATTTTGTGCGTTTTACAGGAGTTCAGCAGCACAGTGATGCGTATGCATTGCCATTTCACTTTCAAAAGATTCTGTTACTGACGTTGATTTAGATACTTCTGGCAGATAGCCGTGCCGTTTGTGGTAGTAGTCACCTTTTTTCTAATGTAAGCTATTATAGGGATATGGTATTCGTAACAAACTAACTTCATGGCTGTAGGCGTGATATGATCGGACGGTACTTCTTCAAGACTGCACAGAAAAGACTGTTTATTAGTTCGCGAAAGCACAGGCAGGCAAGGAGAGAAGCGGGATTAACTGATTACTTTCTGGACTCTGTATTAATTGATATTGGCTGTTTACTCGGCGTGGAATGGCTTAGATTGGCATGTCACTCTGTATGATAAGCGTTTATATGTGGTGTATATATTCATTGTATACAATATTATACATATCTAATAATTAGACATTAAAAGACTTATTCCGGTGCGTACGCTTTCAGGGAAGTCTCCAGTCCGATCGCAGAAGCTTAGTATATCGAATCAAGCTTTTCAAGCCTGTCAGCCACAGTTGTGTAGGTATAGCATCAAAGCCCAAACCTCTCTCTCTCCTGATATGACGGCTGGTTCTGTTTCTCATGCTGATTCGCATGCTCATGGCTTCTCGCCTGATGTTCAAAGTCATGCCAACATCCTGCCCTCTCGCAAATTCGTGAGCATCTGATCAATGATCGCGCGAGTCGCACCCAGCATCTTTCAACCCCGGAGCGTCGGCGCTTGTCGGTATATGTCTTCGCCTGCTGCTGATGCCAAGAATGTCACCGCGCCCTGCCCTCGACCCCGCTCAACGCCTCCGTCTGGTTCGCATGATGGCTGGGCGGCGGGGGAAACGCAACGGCGTAATCCGCGCAGCACTGTTGATATTCCCGCGCTTTGCCGATATGCGACGCCACATGGTCGACCGTAAGCGAGGTTAAGGGGAAGGATGACAAGGTCAGGTAGAACGTGGAGTAAGTGTTTTCTGCGTACGTTTCGAGAGCGGATAATTCGTGAATGGTGCATTTGTTAATGATTGTTCGCGCGTTGATATCATGCCTTTGCTGAGCCCTGCGGGTGTGCAGGTCGTCGATGGCAGCTGCTAGTAGCACAGCGACGGGTTCCTTTGGTGGTGACCCGGATAATGTACGAGTGATCGTGTCACGCTTGGAGGCCGCCAATTGTGTAGGTGGATGTTGTGTCGGGGATCATGACAGGGAGATGTTCAGCGCAGGGCGAGATAAAAGGTCTGTGATTGCGGCGGGATGAAGGTACTAAGAACGAAGGAAGAGCGGTCATATTTTCTAGGTAATTGTCAGCGATAGATTATATATTTAGAATCGTAGGAATATTACGAACTAGATCTGTGCAGTATCGTCGTGCTGAATCCTCAGCATCTGAAGCTGCAGAACGATGTGTATAGGACCGCGAGAATGCTCGTCGTTGACATTGTTGTGGTGTTTTCTTGACAAACTGCAGACGCAGTGTCTGACAAGCCGGTAGGGCTTCGTCGTTGCTGACATGCTTGAGATGGCCTGTTGATGGAGCTGATGTTGTCGCCAGACGAAGCTTCGATCAATGTTGCATGGCAGCAATCCGCCTTAGTAGTCGCAATGAATAGGAGCAACGAATTTGGAAGAGAAAGTATTTGTCTTACTCTTATTAAATGAATGAATCCCAATTCTAGACTAGCTATCAACTGCTCGTTGCCATCTGGTGAAGTCATTTGGAGATTATTTTATCTGCAAGAGTGGAAGATCGGGACTAGCGCCCATTTCTCCAGCTGCGCACACAGCCAATCAGAATACAGCAATTACTTTATACATTTGATTTGCTATTCCTAATTATTTTTTGATATTTTAACATTTTTCTTGGAATACTATTTATCCGAGCAAGGAAGCAATGTCTGCTCTAGTAATATATTCCTCGAAACTCCTCAACCAGCCGCATGTCCCTAAAAACGCCTCCTTCTATTTCTTCTCCAGCTCGACATCAACGTCTGGCAGCGGCAGAAATACTTCTGAAAATTGAAGAAGAGAACATCGTTTAGGTTTTGCGAAAGGATCTCATGGGATAATTTGAGTAGGCGTGCATTTCTTTTGGTTTGAAATGTTTAAAATCTAAAATGGTCAATTGTCTGTACGTGGATCGGTCTATTAAGATAAGATTATAATCCAAAACACCTCATATGTTTGCTTGTCTCTTAATTCCCCTCCGCTTTTGTAATCGGCTTTTGTTCTGTTGCCCAAGAAGTATTAATGCATTCAGTGACCCTATAAGATCATCTGCATGCAGTACCAGCAATTCACGTGGCCCTGCATAATTTCCCTTGAAAATGGAAACTATAGAAGACGTAAGGCATTTCCAATGAGTATAAAAGATTTAATGATCATCCAAGTATAAAGTGTTGATGATTTTCCCCTTTCTCCAAATAACGTTAGTCCATCCAGCCTTGCGGGTCTCGCGTTCCCGGCGCGTCTCCCAAACCAGGTAAATTAACTTGAAATCTGCCATTCCAACTTTACAACCCTGCATTTTATTTCAGCACACTATGCCTCTGACGTCGCAGATAATGGGGCATGGGATCACTCCTCATAATGAGGACAGAACGGAACACGATGAACGCCCCGCGAAAAAGCGCCGCTTCTTCGTCGAAGATGAAGAACAGACCCCCAATCTCAAAAGTCCGAACAGAGCAGCTACATCGTACAAGACGCGTCTAACCAGGCACACCAACCGAAAACCCAACCATATATGGCTTTGGAATCATTTGTTGACGGGCATCATAGTACAGAAACCGTTGGACAGGCAGAAACGGAACCGCAATCAGAGCAGACGATTCGCCCACTTCCATCTCAAACTTGTCTAATAGAGACTATTGATGATACCTGGCAAGCAGATATTCGCGCTCAGTCCGAAAATCAGACAGTAGACAGTTTCGACTCTGCTCTCTTCTCCAGTGTTGTAGGAGGAGACGTTCCACTTACAACGATTACACAAATTCGACGGGCTGCGGGGGATAATATGGAAAGGCAATCAATATGTATTTTGACGGATCCTATAAAACAATACCCGCAAACCCTCCACAAGTTCCTCCGTCGAAGCCGGACCAGCCAGACCAGATCGAACCGGGGGAGTCCTCAAATAGGGCTGAGAGCAACGCTCGAATCCTCCTGTCACCAGAAATTGCATCCACTCATGGTCTTCCGGAATGGTCGCCACCTGAAGGAGCCGAGGTGATTCTTAAACATATGCCTCGCCAAAGATACATTGGGGCGTAGGCGGCTGGGCTACAAGAAGTGGACTGAATGTAATTTGTCACAACCAAAAGGTTAGAATAGAAAGGTCGAAGCTTCGAACAATAGGACGAGGGGGAAGGCTGCTTCCGAACCAGAAAGTGGATGTTTTGACTCGGTTTGTGAATTTACGAGGTGAAGAGATCGGCCGCGGAAACCGCCGAATGGGTCTCAACACTGATTGATCAAAAGATTTGTGATTTCGAGGGTGTCTGTGTCTATGCCCCCGACCGTGTGAGAGTTAACGATACTATCTACCTTCAGTTACACTGTTACATCAAAAACGAAGCTTTCAGGCCAGACACGTTTCGAAATATGGACGATAATAGGTCAATTACTTTCTTTGAGCAGCAGGAGAGCACGGAAGAGCGCGACTACGTCAAATTGCTTTAATCAAGGTTTTTGATGAAATTGGCCTTCTACCAACATCCACCACAGAAACGACCGCAAAGCATAAGAAAGATGGGCTGCTTCGTGCCGCAGAGATCTCTGAAGTCCATGAAAAGAAGAAAGACAAACCAAGGGAAGCTACTGAAATGGAGGATTCCTCGCCAGATGAAGAGTCTGCCGAATTGGAAGAAGATCATCTCGATACTCTCTACAAAAAAGCCCAGTCTTTTGATTTCAATACGCCTGAAGCTCAACCTGCAGAGACATTTGCCATGAACCTTCGAAAATATCAAAAACAAGCTTTGCACTGGATGCTTGCCAAGGAAAGAGATACGACATCTGGTAGGCAATCATCAATGCATCCTCTATGGGAACAGTACAAGTGGCCATTGAAAGATGTGGATGATAAAGTTCTACCGTGTGTTGAGCAACAAGATTTCTTTTACGTGAATCCTTATTCTGGGGAGCTCAGTTTGGACTTCCCCGTCCAGAAGCAACATTGCCTGGGAGGTATTTTAGCAGATGAAATGGGACTGGGGAAAACCATTGAAATGATGAGTCTAGTCCATACGAACAGAATAACCCCAGATAATTATACGGCGACTATTGAACCACAGCATATTTCCACCACGTCTAGCGGTGTCACTCCGGCTCCTTATACAACTCTTGTAGTGGCACCGACATCCCTTCTTGCGCAATGGGAAAGCGAGGCCCAAAAAGCATCTGCACCTGGAACGCTGAAAACGTTCGTTTATTATGGCACAGATAGAACGATGGACCTCAGAACAGTTTGTTCAAGACAAAACGGAGCTAATGCTCCAAATGTGATTGTAACCAGCTACGGTGTTGTCCTGTCGGAATTTCGAAATTACGCTGCCCAACCACAATATGCTCGTAACCATATGGGGCTCTTTGCTCTCGAATTCTTCAGAATCATCCTTGACGAAGCCCATTTGATTAAGAACAGACGCTCCAAGTCTGCACGAGCATGTTACGAACTCAAAACTATTCATCGATGGGTATTGACTGGTACGCCTATCGTTAATCGGCTTGAGGATCTTTTCAGTCTGGTCCGCTTTCTAAAGGTCGAGCCGTGGAGCAATTTTTCTTTCTGGAAGACCTTCATTACAGTGCCATTCGAATCGAAAGACTACATACGTGCATTGAATGTTGTGCAAACGGTCCTCGAACCTCTTGTCTTACGTCGAACTAAGACAATGAAAACACCTGAGGGTGAAGCATTGGTTCCTCTTCCTCCCCGGACCGTCAAGATTGAAGAGATTGAGCTTTCGCAGGAGGAGCGGGAGATTTATGACTTGATCTATTGCCGAGCGAAAAGAACCTTTAACGATAACATCGAAGCTGGCACTCTGCTGAAATCTTACTCTACCATATTCGCTCAAATCTTGCGGCTTCGTCAAACCTGTTGTCATCCAATTCTTACTAGAAATAAGGCAATAGTTGCTGAAGAAGAAGATGCGGCAGCAACAGCGGATTTTCTTAATGAATATCAAGATGATATGGATTTGCAGGAGTTAATTAATAAATTTACAAAAGCAACCAATTCAGTTAACGCGAATGGAGAACAAGGCTCCATGGCGCGTTTTACGACGCATGCTTTGCGACAGATTCAAAGTGATACCAGTGGGGAATGTCCCATCTGCTCGGAGGAGCCTCTGATAGAACCAGCGGTTACAGGCTGCTGGCACAGCGCCTGCAAAAAGTGCCTTGAGAATTACATTCGACATCAAACTGACAAGGGCGAGCTCCCACGGTGTTTCTCCTGTCGCGCCCCAGTTACGCGGCAGGATATCTTCGAAGTCATTCGTCATCATTCACCCAATAGTACTCCAGACGAAAACCATATTGTCAGCAGTACACCACCGATTTCCTCAGAACCTACGCCAAAGATATCGTTGCGACGCATATACCCCTTGTCGCCTTCTGCCCACACGTCTGCAAAGATACATGCGTTGATCACACACCTCTTAAAACTACCCCGAAACACGAAATCTGTGGTCTTCTCTCAATTCACATCCTTCCTAGACCTAATCGGCCCCCAGCTCAGCAAAGCCGGTATCTCCTTCCTGCGACTCGACGGCTCAATGCCCCAAAAGGCTCGAGCAGAAGTCCTCCGCCAGTTCAACCGCACAGAAATTTACGAAGAGGAAATGAACCTAGAAGACGACATCGCTAGTCTCGAGGATTCAAAGAAACCCACCAACCCACCGGCTACTCACAACATCCTTCTCATCAGCCTTCGCGCCGGTGGCGTGGGATTGAATCTAACAACAGCCAATAATGTATTCATGATGGATCCGTGGTGGAGTTTTGCGGTCGAGGCGCAAGCCATCGATCGTGTTCATCGTATGGGCCAGTTGCGAGAGGTTTCTGTGACGCGGTTCGTAGTCAAGGATTCAATTGAAGTCCGCATGCTCCGCGTCCAGGAACGCAAAATGAATATCGCGGGTTCACTTGGTCTACGCGTTGGCGGCGATGGCACGGAGGATGATCGCAGGAAGGATCGGATTGAGGAGCTGAAGCTCCTGTTTGAGTGATATGTGCTATTTGATTAGTGAAGATCTCTTTTAGATACCCACAGAGTTGACATCGAAACGTTTACTGTTGTACATAGAGCTATAGTCTGGGTTTGGATGTCTTTTTATGTACAGAAATAGTCCCGCATCCAAATTCGCTTATAATGGATTACAAATTCTAGGATATAGTATGTTAGTGGGTTCAAGATCTATTGAGTTTAACGTTCGATGCGTTCCTGGAATACCACTGTGGGCTCTGCTCCGGTTTACTATCTCGGTACATTAGATCCGATCGACCTTCTAGCCTACATGTAGTGGGGCGAACCCCCCCTTTATTTCTTTCAATATAACTAGATGATACGATTTGTTTCATTTGTAGTTTCAGAAGCACGGATCAAAATGGCTTCTGCACTCCCAGTAGCCTATTAAACTCTATAGACTATTACTTAGATCCAACGACAGAAAGTTGAAATTAATTTTCTAAGCCCAAAGAGCGAGCACTAATGGTTGAACCACCAAATTGAATATTCAAAATTATTCACAATTTCTTTAAGGTGTAGAAACGTTAGCAGATCTTTAGGTTTAGTACTAAATGGAATAATGGAATAGTTTGTATCTACCCCGCATTTGGGACTGTCCCCATAAAATGTCACGATTCAAGATTAGTTTATCGTACTAGTGACCCCGCGTCGGCACTTAAATACGCATCGTAGGTCCTCTTGTAATAATATCTGATTTCACTGTACTGATGCCTTCTAAGGTTGAACGAAACAGTCGAAGTCCAACTATGGAGAATGAAGGTTGCCTGAAGGAGCGCGGTCTCAGGGAATTACAATTATCATGCAAACGACAAGATTGCGAAACACGTCAGGATGTACACGGAGAGCTTGCGAAAACCCCTTTAAAGAATCTTCAATATTTATGGGAGTCAGCATATAGTCAGCTACGAATTCTAAATGCTGTGCTGCATACCGACGGAGACGAGTCTTCCAGTGTCCAGCAAATCTTTTGTGCCGCTGCCAACTTTAGAGAATCTACGAGCCTATCAATGTGGAACACACCACAGCTGACCCAGGATCTTCCGGCACCAATCCCAAAGCCTGGACTATTTCGAGTTGATTGCCGGTGTGGCGTCGATCATAAAATACAATCCGTGTGCTTGGAGCATTCCACCTTTTCAGTCCTATATAATTCGCACATCCTCCTTGCAACCAGTATGGATTTTTCAAGGATAACACATCTGCCGCGAACTCCATCGTTGATAGATATATTTCGACCAGCCACCAGCAAAAATCGGGTGATCCAAATATTGGGATCATTCTTTTATCAGGTCCGGCCCACGAATGCTCATTCTCTTCTAGCATTCTGTATGATAATGTACCGATTATTACGTGTAAGGCTTCATCACAATCATCATTATTATCCCCTTCTCTCTCTCGATAGCTAGTGAGCTGACTATTGTCAGTGGCGTCTCTATCCTGTACAACAAACCTATCAGGATATTCCAGGGTGGCTTTGCCCGACAGAAATCCAGAATTCAATTATTCATCCATTGTCTATTGATTTTCTCCCTTGGCCGAGATTGAGGGATTACTTGACGATTCGTTCTTGCGCAGATTTAGCAGACCAGGATATTCGACACTCCGCCCACTTGTACATACAATGTATCCGATTTCAGTGGCCAACCAACAAAGAGTTTGTGCATACAACGGTATCAGGAGAGCTATTTCTAGACCCAGAGTTCGACGCTGCGATATATCAATATGAAAACTGGATGTTATCTGAGGAATGGGCTCGCATGTTTGAACCTTTGAGAGGGCTGGTGAATGTAGAGGGAACATGTACTCATCATAATACTCCGTTTTTATTTCAAGAAGATATTTGATAATTAGAGCTGAGATAATAATGTGCTAGCCTGTTAACTAATCCGGCAGTAGGAGTTCCTTTTCGTCGGCAGTTGTCAAACGCTTATCAATTAGGCATATGATATTAGCGACGTGTGTCGTACCGACGTCTTTCCTGGTATTAGATTCCGTAACACAGGTAAAATGAAGACTTTCTACTCGGATGTTAGAACTTGTTTCTGCCCCTGCCCGTGAACAGTTCCCGCATGGCCAAGCGTCTCGCGGACTGTTGACAGGGTGGTTAGTTTTGGCGACTGCTCATAATAGTGCATAGCCATGCGACGCGCCGGAAGCACAGCTCACCAACCAAGTCAATCTCCCACGCGTGTGAACGATGCTAACTCAAACCGGTGTGTCAGGTCGCAATCACGTGTCCGCCGTGCTAGTCACAGAATGTGCTCAACACATCAATTGATGGATAATGAATGGAGCAAGTCCCACTGAGAAGAGAATGGCCGATGGCTGGGGGATTTGACATGACGTGGTAGAATTAATTAAACAGAGTAAAAGAGTGGAGGTTTCGAATATGTCTGTATATAGATGTAATATACTATCAATTGATATTCCCTACATGGTCCACGTGGTTCACATATCCAAATCCACATTGGGATTAATGCTAATTACAGTCACACAAGAACCACCGGGCATATAATAAAATGCAAGACAAAATCCTAACTAACGCCGCCGGACCCGTGTATTGAGCTCATCGAGGTATGACATAAGAAAAGCAAAGCAAATCGTTTACAAAGAAAATGAGACAACGCCATGTACAGCCCGCTGATATCCGTAAGAAAATTTCAAGAAAGAGTGCTTCAGGTCTAAAAGTCTTCATCGAAGCTAAGACCGCCAGCATTGTCTTCTTTCTTTTCGGCTTCCTTGTCTTTCTTGGTGCTGTTCATGACACCAGCCTTTTGGTAGTCACCAACACGCTTCTCGAAGAAGTTGGTCTTGCCAGCAAGGGAAATGTTCTCCATGAAGTCAAAGGGGTTGGTGGAGTTGTAGTACTTCTTGTTGCCGAGAGCAACGAGTAAACGGTCGGCAACAAACTCGATATACTGGCACATTAGCTTAGAGTTCATGCCGAGCAGGGCGCAAGGAAGCGCGTCCGTCAGAAACTCCTGCTCGATTGAAACAGCATCGATAATGATATTCTCAACCACCTGAGGGCTTGGGCGAACGTTGAGGTGAGAGAAGAGCAAGCAGGCAAAGTCAGTGTGAAGACCCTCGTCACGGGAAATTAACTCGTTGGAGAAAGTAAGACCAGGCATCAAGCCGCGCTTCTTCAGCCAGAAGATGGACGCAAATGAGCCAGAGAAGAAAATACCCTCAACAGCAGCGAATGCAACCAGTCGCTGAGCGAATGTGGATTCTCTGTCGGAGATCCAGCGAAGAGCCCAGTCAGCCTTCTTGCGAATGCAAGGAACTATATCCATCAGTTTAACCACCCCAAATAGCAGCATTCATCAATCAACTCACTGTTATCAATAGCATCAAACAGGTAGGTACGTTGCTTGGGCTCGTTGATGTAGGTGTCAATGAGCAAAGAGTATGTCTCGGAGTGAATGTTCTCCATCATGATCTGGAATCCATAGAAGCAGCGAGCTTCAGGAATCTGAACCTCGCCGCTGAAGCGCTCAACCAGGTTTTCATTCACGATGCCGTCAGACGCGGCAAAGAAAGCCAGACGTGGGAGATAAAGTAACGCTCGTCATCATTGAGACGGTTGTTCCAGTCGTGCAAATCCTTCGAGAGATCAATTCTTCGGCGGTCCAGAAGGAGGCTTCGGCCTTCTTGTACATCTGCCAGATCTATAACAAACACGTCAGTTTCACTGCGATTCAACGCGCAGAAACCACTTTACGCGCGACGCGTCGACATTGGCACTCACCTCGTGATACTTGATGGGGAAGAGGACGAATCGGTGAGGATTCTCCTGGAGGAGAGGCTCGTGGGCCTCGGTCTCCTTGATACAGAAGCTACCTTGGGAGCTTCCTGCACGGGCAGGCTTTCTCCATGGCAG